TGTGTGTGTGTGTGTGTGTTGTAGCTGGACCCTATAGAAAAGGACTGGATCTACTCAGCCGCATGTGCACGTGTGCCAGATCTGTCTCAGCTGCTGCAGCAGGATCCCACTCTGGCCAACAAGAAGGTAGCACACACACCGAAAACACACTCTGCTTTTCAACGGCTGTCTGTAGATAAATATCATGTTGGCAATGGCAAAAAGTTGTGAAATGCAATTGTGATGAGGTTTCAGCTATCAGTCTCTCTACAGTAATTAACGACTTTTCATGTATTGTTTTTTGTTTTTGTGTGTTGGGCGCACCAGGACTTCACCTCTGTAAGTATTTGCACATACGTTGTTTCATGAGGACAACTGTAAAAAAAAAAAAAAGTTATACTGCGACTGGATTGCATGTGTTTACCTGTTGATCAGCGACTGACATCCCATTTGCTTCATTCTTATGTGCTGTGTTTCTCCTGACTGTGGCGTGTGCTGTGCCTGTTTCCATGGTCCTGCTTCCTAGGGGGTAAGTTTATGGACGACTCCCGCAGTGCTAGGTCCCGTAGACCTCCGATAACACACTGCCTCTTGAGATCTGTGGAAATAAAAAAGTTTACACAAACACAACCAGCGTGGGCTACCTTGCAAGCTGAGCGTGCTGCAGAACAGAACGTGTTCATGCATTGTCCGCAATTGTATAAAAAGAAAAAAAATCTTTTCCTCCCAGTTTTAGCTTGTATAAATTTCACAAGCTCATTCTATTGAGATTTCCCCCCCTTAATTGTATTCCGAGAGGCCTGTGTTGAAACATCCAGATCATGCATTTCAAAGGTCCACTATCAAAAGGATTATGAAAGATAGCTTTTTAGCTCCTGCACCCCCCCTGACAACCCAAATCCCTTTTATTTGTCTCCCTGTGCGCCTAAGAGATTTGAGCTCATGTTTGTTGTCCCTCCCCTAGGCTCACAGTTCTCACACCGTCCTGTGGCCCAGGACAGACCACCTTCTAAGAGCCCCTAAGCCCTCCAGTATCCCCACCCGGACAAGATAGCACGGCCACCGCCATTGAAGTGCAGGGTGATGGGGTCGGTGGGATAGGGGGGGGGGGGGATAGGGGGGGGGGGGGGGTTGGGGGGGAGTCGGATTAACCAGAGTCTTAATGTGCCACAAAGACTTCACCCACTTAAAGATAATCTGAAAGTAATAGAGCAGGCTGGGATTAATTGTAGAACAATGTCGGCCGTGTCCTCGGGAAGGTGCTAAGACCCTTGCGGGACCCTTTGATGTTCCTTCTTCACCCCTTTGGCCTTTCCCTGTTCAGGAGGTGTTGAATGGGCTTCATCAGAGAGCACCGCGGCTCAGGCCACAAGTCACTGGTGTCCAATGTGTTTCTTTTTGAAGCCAGGAGTCAATAGATCCTGATGTTAGGTCAGCCGGTTTCTGTCTCCCACGTACAAAAAGCGACGAGTGAACCGAAGTGCCAGGTAGTGAATGTATTGCCATCAGGAGGACTGAAGATAGGCCTACCACCTATCATCGATGACCTTGTTGCACTCCATGAAAACACACAGATTGGTAGTCATCTGAGAGTTTTGTGGTTTAAGAGACTCAAAGTCATTAAGATTTTAATGACTTTGAGTGTCCTGAAAAGCGCTTCCAAATAAAATGTATTATTATTATTATTATTATTATTATTATTATTATTATTATTATTATTATTATTATTATTATTATTATCAAATTGGCCAAGAAGCTCAAGCCATAGCCTTTGACTTGAGCTTTAAAGCATTGCTTATGACTCGTAGGGCAATGCTTTAAAGGTGAATCTGTTCCAATTCAAACCACAACAATTGTATTCCCTTGTGCTAATCACTCATAGCCTCACGATTCTGTCCTCCATCCCTCTCTCTCTCTCTCTCTCTCTCTCTTCCTGTCTTCCCGGTGTTGTTCCTGTGACGTGGCTCCATGGGCCCCTGCTGTGACGGACTTCCTCTCTCTCTGTGCGCTACAGTTTGTAAGTACATCATCCGTCTATCACTCGTTGCTGTCGGTCCCCATTGTGGCACTCCCCTGTTGACATGTCTGTCGGCCTGGTCTAAGAGAAGACCCTGCTCACCCTGGTAGTCATCAAGGGGGGGGAGCAGGAAGGGGGATGACGCTGCATCCTGTTTGGCCTCGTCGTCCATCACCTGTACCCGCTGGGAGAGCTGGCGGGCTGCCCATCATGCGGCCGCTGGGCTAATCTCTCTAAGAGATGTGGCAGGAGGGGTGGAGGAGACAGACAAAAGAGATGGAGCTGCTCCAACCAGACACCATCGATCACAATTTGTCACCCCCACACTGAAGGAGGTGTATCTATCTGCAGTCCCCGCTCCCTTCCTAGGACGCAATGCGATACGATATGATCTACTGCTGGTCTGTGGTCATCGGGCATAAGCATTGTCGTGAAGGGACAGCAGCAGAGGTGTGCACTTGTCAGGAGCTGCACAGCTTGTTGCTGTGCAGGGGTTTCTTGTCGTAATGGGTATGTGGCAGGACGGAGGTGGAATATTACATGTGACCGGTGAGTTCAGAAATGACACAGCGGAGACAGACGAGAACTTGCTCTTGGGGTTTTTTCTCCTGCCCATTTGAGGGCTAATGGACCTGTGAAGCCTTCTGAGATGGTAACGGTAATAAAGGGCTCTGCAAAATAAACTTGACAGAAGGATGTTGATACTTGTTGTACAAAGGAGAAGATTTCAGACACATAAAATTGCCAGAAAATGGACCAATGTGCGAGTTTTGGTTCATTTATGTGACTGACAAGAGAAAACACACCTGTTGATGCAGGTTTAATGATGTTGATCAATGTTATTTTATGTGCAAAAAGAAAATAATTTCTGCTTCCACGTAGACAATACAATACATCAGTAGTAATCACTGGCCTGATCCATGGTTACATAGCCTGAGTTCAGTAGTTAAGACCTATCTAATTTCTACCGTTTAATGTCTTGAGTGCAGTGTCTGACTACAACAGACTGGTGGTGGTTAACATCTGTGCCTCATATGCTTTCACCTGTTGAAAGCATGTAATTACACAGGCCAGTAGGAGTGTGTAGGAACGCCCTGACAAGGCCAGAGCCATTGATCAACATGGCCTCTACTTAAATACCCGGGCAGGTGGACAGGGTTGATGTGGTCTGTGTGAAGGACCTCTGAAAAATTTGTGATGTGGTACATGTGTGTGTATCATTAGGGTGCGGGTATCAGTCTGTGTATATGTGTTTGTGTGTGTGTGTGTGTGTGTGTGTGTGTGTGTGTGTGTGTGTGTGTGTGTGTGTGTGTGTGTGTGCATGCAACATGGAGGTGCTGTGTGCGTTGACAGTAGTGCTGTGATTCCTGGGTGGGTCTAGTCTCCACGGGGTCACACCAACATCATCAATCTTCCCCCTCCCCCTCCTACCGTGACAGGCTGCTGGGACCCCCGACTGTGGGCACAGGGCTGTGTTGTTTTGTAATTAGGCTCTGTTAGGTGGCAGGAAACCATCTCTTTCTCTCTCTCTACCTCTCTCTACCTCTCTCTACCTCTCTGTCCCCTCCGCTTCGCTCCTTGCTGTGCACAGCTGGCTCTCTGCCCTCAATCAGCTCAGCGAGGGACGGCTAACCCGCGTCGCCCGCCCCGCGCACAAACTCGTTAGCGCAGTAATGATGCCGTGGCAATTAACCGCGGCGAAGGCTAGAGCATTGTGACGCGGTTACATGCTAGGTTAGGAATATGGTTGGCCATGTTTTTTTGTCACACGACACCACATGCAAGCATGTGCTCTTAACGAAGCGCTGTGAGGATGAGTGCGGCTTATAATGAGGAGTAGTTTTGTGTCATTATCACACAATGACTTGATCCTAAACATGGTTATAGCAAGTCACATGATCATAATAACACATAACACAAACTCTCCATTCTCTCTCTGTTGCATGCAGACGGCTTTACACTGGGCAGCAAAACATGGAAAAGAGGACATGGCCACACTGGTGGTTAGCGCTGGTGCTGACGTCAACACCAAATCAGTGAGTACACCTGTTGATAAAAAAAAAAAAACATTCAAATTCACTTAAATAAAAAAAGCACATACTGTTTGTGTGTGTCATATATAGCCCCTTATTCACCCACTTTTTGTATCAATTCTCTTTTCTTACAGCATGTGAGTGGCTACTCTTTCGTTTTTATCACAGCTCTTAAGACAGGAAGTGATTTGGTACGTAAGTAGTTAAATTTGAACAAATCATGGTGCTCGGTGGAAGCAGAGCCCTGTGTGTGCTGGTCGGAGGGGGCGGGAGTTGTCAAGTGATGTAATTGCTGTTCCTAAACGGTGTGTGTGTGTGTGTGTGTGCGTGTGAAGATCCAGCTGTGAAAATGTATTACACCAACACGTTTTGCCGCCCCAAAACTACCACATGGCTAATAAATCATGTTATGTCACGTTAATTGTTTCCCCAAAACAGTGTCTGTATGTGCCAGTGAGTCCAACTCTAGAACGTACCCATTTTCACTGAATTACAAACCAATTATGTTTGTATCATTATCGCGTGTTGTCATAACCTTTCGCTAATTTGTATATTTCTTTCCTCTCTCGTGTTTTCCTTGGATGTCTTTGGGCCATGGGAAACTCTAGGGGGTAGGTGTTGACCTTTCCAGCGTTTTTCCAAACGTTTTGTCTCCTGAACTTTCTACAGAGTACAAGTAACATTTTGAGCAGCGGTGTTCTGCAGACATCACAGACTGTTTTTAACCCTTTAAGTGTGTGCAGGAAGGGTATCTGAGGGTTTGGGGTTGTGTGCACACCAGCTGGGATCAGCTATAAGTGTTTGTTTAAGTGCAACATTTATTGCTTTTCAATGGACCTAAATAAACAAATGACATTGAGTATGATTTCCATTTTCAACCAAAATGATCTCTCAAAGGCACACATGCTTCACACATATGTACACACAGACCCAATGACATTCAAAAATGGTTCATAAATAAATACATAAAAGTGGTCCTGACTATCAACTGGTAAAGCATGGCATTAATGTTGCCAGGGTTAGGGGTTCGATTTCCACTGGGACTACCCATGCTTAAAATGTATGCACTCACGGTATTGTAAGACACTTTGGATAAAAGCATCCACCAAATTATTCATAATAATTAATAAGAAAAGATTAAATTAATAAAAATAAAGTAGTCTTTGTTAAAGCTAAATGCTGGATATAATTTGGTTTATGAGGTGGAAACATAATTTCTGTTAGTTTCACTCACTTGCACTGTTTTTCTTTCTTTCTTTCTTTCTTTCTTTCTTTCTTTCTTTCTTTCTTTCTTTCTTTCTTTCTTTCTTTCTAGGGATACACACCTCTACACATAGCGGCGTTGCACGGACATCGACACATTCTTGAGCTGCTCATTCAAACATATGGTAAACAGGAGGATAGTGAGTTAGGTTCAGCTCCCGCTGGGTTCAAACTCAAAACATTTAAAAGTGGTCAGAGAAACCGCTTGGCTTCTATTTCTTGAAGTGACCACATGATCTTTCCTGTCTTTCCGGATTGCAGGGGCGAAGAACAACCTCAGGGACTACAGCGGCCATCTTGCCAGCCAGTACCTGAATGGCAGAGATCCTGAGGAGTCAGAAGAAGAGAGCGAGACACGTGAGCATTCACTTCTCTTTAGATGCCCAATCTATCAATTACTATGAAAATGAAAGTAAAGCCAAATTAGTGAAGAATGTAGGGGCTTATTGTAATGTGTATCTTCATTCCTTAAACGGTATGTAAACCCCCAAATCAATTTGTTCATTTGAAAACTTTTCTCTCACGCAATGTATTTTTGTGTGGCCTGTTTGAGTGGTAGTTCTCTATTGGCTGCGCACCCTTGCTCAAGCGGATGATGGGTGTTTTGACAACATTTCGCACTTTTGTTTGCCTCAGATTGCATTTTTGTAATCTTCTGTGTGTCCTGCTAAAATGGGGGTTTACTTACCCTTTAACTCCACCAACATATTCTAAACCAAAACAAGAAATTACAAAAAAAGAACAGAAGAAATTCTGGCAACATTTGCTAACTTACTACCTGCTAATAATTCCCTGTTTGATTCTGGTTGTTTTCAATCATTACAAAGCAACCTTAATACATAACAAATGTCTTTGTCTTATTAGAGTTCCAAGCGACTCAGGCCAGGGAACGGAGCCGGAACAGGAAGTTGCATTCTCTCTTCCAGTCTAAGAAGAAGTGGGGCTCTGCGGAGGAGCTGGCGCCCATAGAGGAGGAGCGGTCAGCCCCCACGCCGCTCCTGCTGCCAGCCGCCAGGCCCAGGAAGTTCTCCCGATGATCACACCAGAGACTGTAGTACAGAGACCTCCTCAAAACTCTCTCTCTCTCTCTCTCTCTCTCTCTCTCTCTCACACACACATTAGCACACACACACACACACACACACATACACCAATTGCATGTGTGCACACAAACACCTCATCTAAATGTGTGACTTGTGACAGGATTTCATATCAACAAGGGACTAATGAAGTGCTTTGCTTAGATAACATTTATGCTCGCCAAATGATAGGGTTTACTTGAATTGCAATGCAAAACATAAATATACAGGATTTTCTCACACATACACACACACACACACGTGTTTGCATGTGTGCATGCAAACGCCTCACGCAAAGGGTTAATTTCAAAGGATTTCAAAGGAAATAGGAGTTGATAAAGTCAGTGCCTTGCTGATTAACACATGTATGCTAGCTAACAGATCCTCACTGGGTTCTGATTCTGTTCTGACCGGTTGTTGGTGAACAATTTATTATTTTCGTTTAATTTTACTTTTCCAATAAGCTGGGATGGGATGGGATTCTCTCCCTGTGTGTCAGTAGCCTTGTGTCTGAGTCCCAAGTGAACAAATCTGACAAGCAGGTAAAGAGCACATTATAAGCTTATCTGCATCTCCCTTTCACACTCACAAATCGATTCTGAGCCAAAGAAGCATTCCAGAGGTAATCCCAGAGCTATGTTAATGCTAAAATGAGAACCTTGACGTTACACAGGAGTGTCGTAGTCTCAGGCGTTATGCTCGCTTTATCAGTTTAGGCGGGATTTCATTTGCTTAGTGACACTTTCCAATTTTTGCACTTGTTGTTTTTCTACTCTGGGACGATTACAAGACTTTTATGTTATACATTATTATTGGCCAAGTGTATGTTTCCTTGGTTGACCAAATGTATTAAATTGAAACAACTTGCTTTCACATTGCACTCTTTTGTGCATTATTGATATTTTTTGAAGAAAAGTTGTAGTTTTGTACTTGCATTTATTTTGAGTGTATATCGATACTTATGTCCCACATATTATTATGCTATTATTAGAGAAATGTTTGTGAATAAATTGTTAGTACATACTGTATGTGTATATCTGAATAACTGTTGTGCACTGTACCATAATAATATTTTTGTGACCATCTATAACTACAACTACACAATACTGAGGGACTCCATGATCAATTGATTATGCCGAATGAAAATTAAATGTTGTAATAACGGCAATTTCTTTATTTTCTGCTTTTCTTTAATTTTGTATCTGCCTTTGATGTCACTTCAAGCAGCTGAGTGTTTGGGCTACAGATGGAGTAAATATGGGCCCTGCGAACTCTCCATACGGCTTTAGACCTTAATACCTGATTAGTTGAAAAGGGCAGCACTTGCTTTTGGGTCTTATATATCAGAAGACACAGAGGGGAACAGAGGCAAGTGTTTTTGTGCTTCATTTTTGAAGGAGGTAGTTGGGAAGGGGGGGTGGGGGGTCCTAGCAGGGATAAGATGAGGGTTCTGTAATAGATACTTATCTTACTGCCCTCAAGCCCCTCAAACAAAGTCCCTCTCTGAAGAGATTATAACCCAGGGAGGGCACATTAACTCTAATCTCATGCTTTGAGGCCTAGCCCTTCACCCCCTGCCCCATACCACCCTCTGCCCCACTTATTTCAACCCCTTCTGTTGTGCGGGGGGGGGGGGGGGGGGGGGGGGGGGGGGGGGCGGGGGCTACCTTGTACCTCTGGTGTGTGTATGATGAGTGTGTGTGTGTGGCTAGCCATTGGGGTTATGTGTGTGTGTGTGTGTGTGTGTGTGTGTGTGTGTGTGTGTGTGTGTGTGTGTGTGTGTGTGTGTGTGTGTGTGTGTGTGTGTGTGTGTGTGTGTGTGTGTGTGTGTGTGTGCATGTGCACATTTGTGTGTGCACGCATACATGTTTTTGTGTGCCTGTTTGTGTTTCTGATTTGTTTGGGTGTGAGAAAGGATGTTTATGTGTGTGTGTGTGTTCCATATGCATGGTTTTGAATGTGTGTGTGTGTGTGCAATCATGTGTGTGTGTGTGTGTGTGTGTGTGACTGCAGACATGCGTGTGTGTGTGTGTGTGTGCGCACGCCAGCGTGGTGGAGTGGGTGTTTCCACAGCACACTATCTAATGAAAAGCATTGAGGGGTGCATACTGCTGTGTAACTGATTCCTCTCTCTGAAGAGATTAGGAGCTACATTGTCGCTTCGGTTGCTCATTTCCATGTGACCACAGCCTCCCACCAGTGGCCGCTCTGCATTGTTATTTTGAGTTGGAAACACAGAGCCCAATGTCCCCGGCTTCCTTGTAGCCATTGTTTCACAAATAGGCCAAAATGTAGATGTCATGTCACAGATGCCCAATAACATCATTAGCTGCCTTCTGTGAGGCTATAGAAAGAATCGAATGCATGCATGGAGTTCAGTTTGCTTGATTGTTGCCACAACACAGATGATTATTTTAAAAACATAACAAATGAAGAACTAAATGCATTGGCAGAATTGTTCTTACTAAAAAAAGCACTGCTCATCAGACAGTTTGTGTCGATTCGCAATGCAAAGCATTTATTTGCTGAAGAATTCCTTTGCATTTGGTATCAACATGCTTTACAGACAGTACCATTCATCTTAATCACAACTCTGACACCTTTATTTACCCATCATGCTCATTATTTCATACTGAAATATATGAAATAGAACAATCTAGACCTCTCTCTGTCTGAGTCCCTCCCTTAGTGCCCAAGAAATTAAGCCACAAACTTATCATCTGGTCTGAGGCGCAATAGTCCAGTCCATTCCTGGATCCATCCAGGGCCCTAATTTCCGTGATGTTGCTAACTTTTGTGTGTGTGTGTTATGTTGTGTGTATGTTTCTATGTGTTGTATGTGTGTGTGTGTGTGTGTGTGTGTGTGTGTTTAAGGATTCTGTGTGTTGCTATGTTTTGTGTGTGTGTGTTTCCATGTTTTGTTTGTGTGTGTGTGTGTTTGTGTTAGAGGTTTCCGTGTGTGTTGCTATGTTTTGTGTGTGTGTGTGTGTTTCTATGTTTTGTTTGTGTGTGTGTGTGTTAAAGGTTTCTGTGTGTGTTGCTATATTTTGTGTGTGTGTGTTCCTATGTTTTTTTGTGGGTGTGTTAGAAGTTTCCACGTATGTTGCTATGTTAAGTGTGTGTGAGAAGGGGGTGTATGTAGAGTCCAACATGGTGAAAGCAGCAGCAGCAGACCCAGTCGCCTCGGCCCGTCACTCAGCTAACGAACGCCGTCTGTCACTCACCCAGCGGTGGGCCGTCAATCAATCGTGGCGCACCCAGGGGGGGGGGGGGGGGAGGCGGGCCGCTGAGCAGAGCTGTAAACAAAGACATGTTCACATTTGCAAGCGGCTTGCGCGCCACCAACCACTTTTAAAAGAATGATAGAGTGATCGTGATAAGAGTGTCGTGACAAAGGACAAAGGAGTGGAGGAGGAGTAAGAGGAGGGGGAGGAGGAGGGTGCAAGGAGGGGGGGGTAGATAGTAAACAGGTTGGTTGGTTGGTTGGAACTTGATATCATTCTCGCTCTGCCTATGCATCTCTCTCGATTTGTGTCCAGGTCTCAGGAGAATCCCTTTGAGGTGAATGGGAGGTCTTGCGGCGCCATAAAAGCTGTTTCTTTTATGACAATGGTCGGTGTCACGAAGCATCGGCTTGCATTATGAGTTTTACTGGTGTGCAGAGTGTAAAGTAGAAGGAAATTTGGAAGGGTCTGGATGAGGTCAAAC